ATAGCAGATTTTAATTCAAAATAAAGAATTTTCTAACAGTTGTTGGAAAAACTACACCACCTCTCTGTCTCTATGCATTTGGACAGAGACTAGGTCACTACCTGGATATTCTAGATTAAATGCTTGGCATTTGGAAGATTTGGATCATACAGGGACATAGGAATTGATTATAGGATGAGTTGTCCAATGGTTCAAATGAAAGAAACTTTAAGTTCTTTACAGTCTTGGGCATTTGTGACTTTGTAGTAAATTGTATTTTGAAATCAGATTCTTTTTGTGATGTAAATAATTGCTGAGTTGTTTTGTAAATTAGGTTGGAGATTGCGATTTAATAATAGAATGTCACAGCTAAGACAGACCTTAGAAATGTTATAGTCAAACCTCATTTTGGAAATGAGGACACTGAGAAAGAGAAAATGAATTAAGGACACAATTGGATAAGTACTGAGATATTGACTTCAAGTCCACTCCTTTTTAAAAATTGCAGTTTATAATGTATAGGTGAAACCTACTAAATCATTTCTAGGACATTTTTTAAAGGTCCTTTTGAATCTTCTTCAGAGCTACCAGAATGAAGCAGCCTGAAGTTCATTTTGTTCTAATTGGGGCGCACTCGAGGAGTCCTCTTGATTATTTTATCTGGACTCAGAGTTCAGTGATTTTCCTAAAGAACAGTTTTTTGTTTTGTCAACTTTATTTAATGCCCTAGGGTTTTATTTCCTTGGAAACATATACATCTTTTTATTGAAAGCAGAAGAAAGGATACAGTGGCTCTCCAAATTTTTTCTTTTAATCAGCAAGTATTTATTGAGGACCTCGTGTGTGCCAGACACTTCCAAACAAAATTATAGGGTCATTGGCTTTTACTCTGAGACGAGAAGCCATCAAATAGTTTTGAGTATAGGAATGGAGATCTGGTTTTTTTTTTGTTTTTTTTTTAAGTATCACTAATAATGTAAAAGAATTCCCTGGGAATTTAAGCAAGCTATAGTCCTACTTGCTTTGATTTAATGAGGCACACTTTTTGGTCTCAGCACACAATTGGAATTAACTACAGTTTGAGGTTTGATCCTTATTAGTTATATAACTAAGTTCTCAGTTAAGCATGAAACTTTTTCATAAAAACAGAGTTATAAACCTCTTAAAAAATATTCTACCATGTACTGGGTTTGAAAAACATTATGACTTCATGATGGAATTTGATAGACCTGGGTTTGAATCCCACCTTTCACTGGTGGTTTGATTGTGGGCAAATGTATTAATTTATCTGAGCCTCAGTTTCCTCATTGGTAAAATGAGGGTAAAACTTGCTACATGGACGTGTTTGAGGATTAAATGATTAAAAGGAACCACGCTTCTGAAATGCTCAGACCCATGTCTGGCACATTGTAAACATTCAGTGAAAGCATAGTCATTATTATGATAATTTAGTCAAAGGAATTTTAAGAATGGGTAAAAGTTATTTTGAAGATAGATTGAGGGTGCTAATTCAGAGTCTTAATTTATTTTTTAGTTTAGAGCTCAGACAAAATGTCTTAAATGCCTTTGTATAAAAGTCCTGGCATTGAAACAATGTTTAAAATAATACCTCTATTTTAATAGTTTGTTTTACATGTGTATGAATTAACCTTTTTAAATGTCACTAGCTGCTTTTGTGGTGTCACAACTTGGCAAATTCTAGAGCTCCCCCGCCTCCCTCCATTCCACGGGCATTATCAGTTTTGGACCAATTCTGGAGGTTTGGTTATCAATTAAAACAGTCAGCAAAGGACCTGCCTGGAGGTCCCAGTTGACCTCTGGCCAGAGGACACCCAGGGAACTGCTGAACTGTCAAGCCTCTCTGGGTCTTAGGAGTGTGTGTGTGTATTCTGTTACCCAGGGTCTTTGTCCTCCCCCAGAGAAATCACAATACCTTATGACTTTATAGCCAAGTTCATATCTATAATGTTTTTTTGTTTGCATATTTTTACTCTTGGAAATTTGGTCTGACTTTTGCTTCAATATTATATCTGTAGCAGTGTCTGGTCAAAAGCATTACAACTTTGACTTGTAAATCTCCAGGTGGGACTAGGGAGAAGACCTATGTGAGACTGAATTGGACCTATGCAAAACCTGTCTCTGTGGTGCCCTGTTTTCCTTGGGCTATGGCAGTCAGCTTTTTCTCCCCCAGTTTTGCATCTCATTTTCCTGGGGCTTAGGTGTCAGCTAGCTGAGTTGATAAATTTATCTCAGTTAATGAGAGTTAGAAGCCCATGTGGATGTTTTAGCTGTCTTTGGAGGAAATATTTTGCTTCTCCCTTCCCTCAATTATTTTTCAAGATATTTTAGCAAAACTGAGATCACTGTGTTACTGTGTTAATGGAATGTTTCTGCATTCTTTTTAGTTGATCCATTAGCAAATGGAATCATCATGAGAATTATAGATCATAGAAAAGGCAGGTGCATGGCAGACTCCTGGCGGAGGCATTCATGGGCACGTGCAACTTTTTTTTGGATTGTATAATCAATTTTAAAAATTCTGTTTTAAAATTTAAAAAATTTAAATTTTAAGCTTTTTCCTTATTATAAAAAAAGTCCTGGTAATTGTAGATAGTTTGGGCTGTAAAGACATATTAATATTTATAGAAGAAAACAAAAATCAACTGTAGTCCCTCCACTAAGACATAAAACTCATATTAATCTTTTTGAGGCATTTCCATTTTTTCTTTTTTTCTGAGCATGTGTGTGTGTTTATACAGTATACACATTTTTACATGATCTTTTACTTTGCTTAACATTATTTTGTGAACGTTTTCCCATGACATTAAAACTATTTGCAAATGTTTTTTCAATGGATATATATTAGTATTTAATCTTACATAATTCATTTAACCAGTTTCCTATTGTTCGACACTTAGGATGTTTCCAGTTTTTCACTGTTATGTAAACTACTGTGATGACCTTTATATATGTATACTTTATATATAAACTTTTATCTGTATCTCTATTTTCACAGGATATTTTCCTGAAAGTGGAGTTAGAATCAAAGATAAGAACTTTTTAAGGCCTGCAATCCATATTCCTTTCTGGAAAGGTGACAGCATTTTATAGTCCACCACAGTGTACAGTCAGATGGAAAGAAGGTTTTATAGTTTTTAAATGATGCTGGCTAGGGCTGGCTTTGTTGTGGCCATTATAAGGCTACAGGTTTGTAATATAGGAAAGTTGTGGAATCAGAGCTGAAATGGTCCTTAGAAAATATCTCGTCCTCCTTTAACATTTTATAGATGAGGAAACTCAGAATTATAATGGGTTAATTAATTGACTTAATTAACTTATAGTTCATAATTAGCTGAGCCAGGATTAAAGACTTGACCCTTTTTTTCCTTTATTTTTTCTTCTTTATCCTGATCCTGATGCACCAGAAACAGTTGTCCCCCAGGACTGAATTAGAGGGGACTGGAGCCTGTGGCCAAACCTTTTTTTTTTTTCTTTTTGCTATGGCACAGCCTTTGCTAGGTGTAGGGTGCTGTCACCCATCATCTGGCCACCCAGCATGTCTGTACCCTGTATTTCCAGCAAAATCCCTGGGATTAATTCTGATAGGACCTTGTTTGAGTTTTGTCTATCCCTGTGGCCAAGGGCACAGAATACCTTGGCTAGGCCTGAGTCACATGCCCACATGCGTGACCCTGGGTGGGGAAGAGGGGACATCACCAGTTTAAGCCAAACTACATGGAGTGAGAATGAGGGAAAAATGATTTAAAGAAGAAAAGAGGTGTTCCATTGCCAAAAGAAAGAGTGCTGGGCAGGCACAAACAACAGATGTCTGTGGCAGATGAAATGGGGCTGGCCAGAGGAAGCATATGTCCTATAGAGTGGCAGTCGTTCGCTCGCTCATCCACCGCTCACCTCCTGCTGTGGTGGCCTGGTTCCTAATAGGCCATGGACCGATACTGGTCTGTGACCCAGAGGTTGGGGACTGCAGCTATACAGGAATAGCTAGCACAAAGGCCACAGGCAGGAAAGAGATGAGCATACAAAGAATGAAAGAAGGCTAGGAGGATGAGCCACATGAACCCAATGGGGGGCAAAGGGATGGGGGGAATGGGATTGTAAAGGGAAGCTGAGACCTGATCATGCAGGACCTTGTAGTTAAAGTTAGGTGCTTAGATTTTATCCTATGAAAATGGAAAGTCATCAAAGGGATTTAAACAGGTTAACCTTTAAAAATGATCTCTCTGGATACAGTGTGGACAGTGGATTGGAGAGAGCAAGGAAGGAAGCAGAGAAATGAATTAGGGAAGTTTTTAAAGTGAGAGATGAAGGTTTCTTGGACAGGGATGGTGGCCATGGTGATCAGACAAGTGGAAAGGTAGATGAGCCACATGTGGTGTGTAGATCAACGGAATCTGATGATTGATGGGCTGTGAGGAGAGGGAGAATGACAGATTTCTGGATTGATTAACAGAATTCATGGAGTTGCCATTTATTAAGAGATATAGCACCTCTTGTTGGATATTCCTTTGCGTTACTTGGCTCCTTGCACCTAGACTATAAGCTTCTTAAAACACAGGTGAGGTAGCATTTCATCTTTCTTCACCACCAATTCTAGCACAGTGCTGAGGCATGCGATAGCACTTGCTTCAACATGTATCAGGTTGATGATCCTAAACCTTGTTCCCAGGGTGGGTCTTGAGGGGAGGCTTAAAGGAACAAAACCCTCTTTATTAGGATATTTGTTGTTGTTGGTTTTTAACTTTGCTTAAAATGATATAAGTTATGTAAGAAGAAGGTACTGTGAGCACAGAAAATGCAGTCAGACCTCAGAGCTGGAGGAATTTGCCCTAATTTATTAATATAGCTGAGACATTCTCTAATCCCTAGTATTCTCATTAAATCATCTAACCTGTACTTGTTCTTTTGGATAATTTTTTTTCTGCCTAAAATTCGTATTTGTGTTTCTTTTTTCTTTGATGTTCTTCTACGTATTAAAAATAAAACAAACACCAAATAACTACCTATATCTTTTTTGGGTGCTCTCTATGCCTTTGAAGCTTCGATCCTGTTGGTACCTTCTGTTCTCCTTTTTCTCTTTTCCAAAAAATCTCATTCCGAAGCACCCCTGAAAAGGGAGAGAAATCAGAAGAAATCAATCCAGTGACCCAGCAACACCTACCTGAGGTAATAGGGCAAACTAAACCTCTTCAGAAAGTTGCTCTAGGACAAAAAGTTGCTTCTAGAACATCACACACTACCTAGCTAACGTGCAGGAAATGCTCACCTGGTGCTGGTTGCTCAAACTCAGCCCAGTGCTTGGTTTTTCTGTGCATGTCTGTTGCTATCTCTGGCTTGCTTTTTGTTTCTTCCTAAGAGAATTTTTCAAACAGGAGGAATTGAATTGAGGCAGTCTGAAATAGAATGCATACAGAATCCAAGCTCCCCTTACCTGGAGTCCTTCTTGAGCAGGACTTATGGAACATGGTGGCATCACAGGATGTGGTTAGCCCTGGCTTGCATGCACTTCTGAAGCCCCCATGCCAGAATGGCAGGGTGCATCCCAACAAGCACTTCCTGTTCCAGGGCAAAAACATGCTTTTTGTTGTGTGTCATTTTCTCATTGATATAGATTTTTACAATGATAATTAAGAGAATTTCAGAAACCACAATTATTTCCCCTACTCTTTTTGTATACAAGTGCTCCTTAAAAGTTTCTAAGGAAAAAAATATTTCAAAACTTCGGGGTCTCTTCCACACCCCCAAGTCAATACTTGTTTTTACATGCGGTAGTTGTCATTAAGGTTCTCGTGGGAAAATGGTTTAAGTAGTGTGATTGAAAATAGAGCTGTGGAGGGGCTTGGCATGGGGGTTGGGTGAACATTTTTGAGTTGGGTAATTAGGCAGCTAGAAGGCGTGGAACAGAAGCGATGATTAGACTAATTAGGAAAGCCATTTTGTAAGTGCCATGGTAGACCCAAGGGTAATGGCCTAGAAATGCTGCCTTTCCTGATTTATTTGATTGATGAAAAGCAGGTTTTACACTTGGGGGTTTATTTATTTTTTAAATTAGAGATTTATTTGCCTGGTTTTCATCTGTTTCAGTTTTATTTCTCTTATAACAGAGAAGCAGATGGGTCTTGTTTTGCAGTTTGGGGATAGGGCTTTCCTGCTTTTGGTTCCATTCTCTTCTCTACGCTAGTCTAATGGAGCAGATTTAACAGGGGACTTTTAGTTAAGTCTTTGCAAAGAACCAGAATATTTTATTTAGTCAGTATACAAGCAACTTTTCTAGTGGCAGGCCTCTTTCTGGTCATTTTTATACACCTAATTTCTTCATGTATACTTGTTTCCTTTAACATTCATTGGTGCCTACTGTGTGCCAGGTGCCATTAGGTGCAAGTTCAAAAATATCTAGCAGTTAAGGACTTTGTTTTGTTCAGTGTTATTGCCCCAGCTGCTAGGGTGGTGCTTGGCGTATGGTAGGTACTGTGTAAATATTTGATGAATGAATGAGCAAGTTAAAGGCTAGGCCCTTGCAATTACAGTTTACTTTGCAAAACTGTTTGTTTTTTTTGTTTTTAGAAAACAAATTTCTGGAAATCTAATCTCATTTATTTCCCAGTAGTTTTAAAATTTAAGCAAAACTTTTTAAAACAATTTGCTTCTAAAACATAATAATAGGAGTATTGTAGATCTTTTAAAAATAGAAATATAGAGTGAAAATGTTTTGCCAAATTACAATATGGCACTAAGTATAATTTGCAAAGTGCTTCTACACACATTAGGTGATGTAACGCTGTCTTACATGCCATACTGTGACATAGGCATGGCAAATATTACTAGCCTTGTGACAGCATTAAAGTGGGTTCATTGTGTGAGGTTCACAAAGGTTAGCTGATTTTAAGTCCCCATAGCTAATCTATAACAGACAGGGCAAGTTCCTTTAAAGGAGTGCTTGCTTTTATACCCCGTTAGCAAATGGCCAAGTTAGCCCACTGGGTTTAGAGAATCCTTTAGGGGCATCAGTGATAGGTGAAGTATCTGATTCTTCACAAACAGCATTAGTAATATATCTGCTATTCAGCTAAATGAAATATAGCACCATTAAAAAACGCTTATGAGGTTTTTTTCCCCCAAACATTGAACATTTTGTGCTGATTTGACCATTCTTATCTCCAATAAGAGCTGATGGACTTGATGAGAATGTGTGGTGCGGTAGAAAGAGCCAGGTGGACCTTGTTGAATCCTCTATTCTCTGAGTGTATTTCCTGATATAAAATGAGGTAATAATACTGACCTTGCAGGAGGGGTCTGGAGATTAAATGAGAAGCATAGTTCTATTCATATGAGGTACTCAGTATTTGATAGAAAAAAACAAAAATAAACCAACAAAAACAAGTAAAAAACTGAACACCAAAGGGGAAAAAAACATTTTTCAGGCTCTTTTGAACACTTTATCACTGAAATTCTTTTTTTTTTCTTTTTCTTTTTTTTTTTAATTAAACCCAAAGCCAGCAGATGAAATTCTGATTACAGTAATTTATGTCTATTCATTAATGCAGTTTCTTCAAGGACCTCTACTATTAACCCCATTTTGGTTATTCTTTGTTTGTAAAAGCCATCAAAATAATTTTCTTTTTAAAATAAAACTCCTAAATTCATTGTGACCCTCTACAATTAATCCAAAACTAATGAGGTTTTATTATTAAACATATCTTTATCTAATGTGTATTTTAAGGTCCTATTGCTGTGCTACCCTACATTTAATAGGTACAATGTACATTATTCTGAGAGAGAGGTGAGGAAGCTACAGAGGAAAAGTTTGAAGCCAGTAGAGGTTGCTACATGTGTTGTAGGAAAGAAGCCACTTTCCTAATATAAAAGTTCAAGGTGAAGCAGCAAGTGCTGTTGCAGAAGATTTAGCAAAGATGATTGATGAAGGTGGCTACACACTCAACAACAGATTTTAATATAGAGGAAACAGCCTTTTATTGGAAGAAGATCCCATCTAGGACTTTCATAGCTGGAGTGAAGTAAATGTCTGTCTTCAAACTTCAAAGGACAGGCTGACTCTCTTGTTAGGGGCAAGTGCAGCTGGTGACTTTAAGTTGAAGCCAGTGCTCATTTACCATCTGAATATCCTAGGGCCCTTTAAGAGTATGCTATATTTACTCTGTGCTCTATAAATGGAACAGCAAAGCCTGATGACAGCACCTGTGCTGACAGCATGGTTTACTCAATGTTTTAAGTCCACTGTTTAGACCTACCGTTCAGAAAAAAAAAGATTCCTTTCAAAATATTACTGCTCATTGACAATGCACCTGGTCACCCAAGAGTTCTGATGCAATTGGATAAGGAGATGAATGTTGTTTTTCATGCCCACTAACACAGCATCCATTCTGCATCCTACTATGGATCAAGGAGTAATTTTGACATTCAAGTTTTATTATTAAAGAACTATTATTTTGTAAGGCTATAGCTGTCATAAGTAATGATTCCTCTGATGGATCTGGGCAAAGTCAAATGAAAACCTTTTGGAAAGGATTCACTATTCTTGATGCCATTAAGAATATTCATGATTCATGTGAGGAGGTCAAAATATCGACATGAACAGGAGTTCAGAAGAAGTTGATTTCAACCCTCATGGATGACAGTGGGGTTGAAGACTAGAAGTAACTGCAGAGGTGGTAGAAATAGTAAGAGAACTAGAATTAGAAGTGGTATCTAAAGATGTGACTGAATTGCTACAGTCTGACGATAAAACTTGGATGGATGAGGAGTTTCTTCTTATGGATGAGCACAGTGTTCTTGAGGTGGAATCTAGTCCTGGTGAAGATGCTTTGAACATTGTTGAAATGACAACAAAGGATTTACACTATTCCATAAACTTCATAGATAAAGTAGCTGCAAGGTATGAGAGGATTGACTCCAGTTTTGAAAGTAGTTCTGCTGTGGGTAAGATGCTATTAAACAGCATTGCATTGCATTCTACATAGAAACCTTTCATGAAAGGAAGAGTCAGTAGATATGGCTAACCTCGTTGTTTTATTTTCAGAAGTTGCCACAGCATTCAACAACCACCACACTGATCAGTTAGTGACCATCATCATCGAAGCAAGAACCTCTAACAGCAAAAAGATTGTGACTCACTGAAGGCTGGATGATTGTTGATGTTTTTTAGCAATAATGTATTTTTAAATTAAGGTATATAGTTTTTTTTTAAAGAGATAATGCTGTTGCATTATCTCTTTAAATAGATGACAGTATAGTATAAACATAACTTTTATATGTACTGAGACACTAAAACATTCATGTGATTCACCTTTTATGTGTGCTTTATTGTGGGCTGGAAGTGAACCCACAGTATCTCTGAGGTATGTCTCTCTATGTAGGATCTCAACAGGAAGTACTATTCTAAGTACTTTTCATGTGTTAGCTTATTTATTCCTTACAACAGCCTGATGAGTTTGTTTAATGGTTGTCCTCAGCTTCCAAAGTCACAGGGAAGTTATTACTCTGTCCAAGGTCACCTAGTAATAAGTGGTGCAATCTGGATTTGAATTCATGCAGCCTGCCACCAGGGCCTGTGCTGTTAAATCACCATGGTAGTCTTTCTGCTTCTACAGTTAGTGGACTTTGTTATTCATTTTGGGTGATCTGTGACCTTTTTTGCTTTATTCCTTGGTTTGCCTTGAAACTACTATATTTCATTCATTCATTCATTCAGCGAATATTTACTGAGCATCTTTTACATGGTGCTGAGGGCTTAGCAGTGATCCACGTAGGCTCTTATATGTCGAACCTTAGTAAAGACAGATGTAGCAGTGGGAACCATGGGGGTTGCAAAGAGTCCCCTGAGAAACCAGGACCTGAGAGGTGTGCAAGACTCAGCCTGGTTGGGAAGGGGTGTGAAGAGAAGAGGGCTGGCATTCCAGTTGGGAGGAGCAGCCCCGTGCATAGACAAGAGATAAGAGGCTGTGTAAGGAGTGCAGGGAACTGCAAATAAGTTCACCATGGCTAAAGCTCCTCCATGTTTTGAGTTGGTAAATTGTGTGAATGGTGCAGAAGTGTTCTCTAACATCAGGCAGTGGAGTAAAATAATCGACTAACTTTACACTTTGGTACGTTGAATATATTTATTATAATTTGTAGGATAATAAAAGCCTGGAAGCAGAATGTAAAGCTTCTATACTTGTGTGGGAGAGGATGGAATAATATTAAATAATAATAAAAATTCAAAAGGAAGCAAGAAAGGAGAGAAAGGGAAAATAGATAAGAGCACAAAATAGGATGATAGATGTAACCCCAAACATATTTATAGTTAAATCAAATATATATGGAAGATTGTCAGGCTGATAAAAACTTACCAACTCATCAACTAACCAACCAAATCAGGCTCTACTTTTACCTGACAGAGAAATACCTCCAGGAGACAAGAAATGACTCATGGTGACCATGAGACAATATCCCCCTACCCTTGCCCTGATCTTCTCTCATCTCCCAGGATGGTACCCTGGAAGCCACCACATCTTGAGAAGGGCACTGGGCTTCCCAATGTGCGTGCAGTGGAGATTGTCCTAGTCCTGGGAGGTTAGCTGTGTTTGGCTTTCCCAGCAGCCTATGGTGGAGAATGGCATCTTATTCACAGCCCTGGTGCCTTCCATCTTGTTTGGTATGCGGCAGGCCCTGAACCAGTGTTTATCATGTACGTACATTTGATTTCCATGTGAGATTGTAAACTCTTGGCAGGCAGGGAACCTGTTATGCTTTTGACTTTTCTATAGTATCTGCTAAAACATAGGAAAGTATATAATGAGTACTACTTATTTAATTCTGTTAAGATTAAATGGGATGTCTGCATCAGGATACTATTCTACCCCTCAGTGCTTTGGAGGTTTGTTTCCACAGCAGAGAAAAAACAAAAACCACTTTTTAATGCAAGAAGGACCTAAAAACCTACTTCTGCGTAACTACATTTTACAGGTAGAAGAGTATGTTCTTTTGTACTTTAAAGAGCATGATTTATTTAATACCAAAATAAATGCTTCACTCACATATATATATATATATATACACATATATAATCTGTAATAAATTATTAGTAGTAAAATAATAAAAATATTTTTCTTGGAGGGACTCTTGGGCAAATCATACCAAAACAACAATTTCTTTTTGTGGAGTGAAAGATACTATTGATTCTGTTAATCCAAATGCAGAATGTTCTCTTGTTGAGTAAGACTTATACTGCTTAAGATAAAACTCAGTTGATTTCGTAAAAGACCTGCTTATTGTGAATAGAAGGAATTACAGAATCCAAAGTAAAATCGACGCATTCTGTTTTTAATTACAGTGTATAAAAAATTAAAACATAGACCCATGGTCTATTTGGATATACTTCTTGGTGATAGACATTTGGGAAGCATTTGGTGAGAGATAAAATACAATTGATATGTGCTGACTCCCTGCCTGTTTAGTGATCTTATTTAGCTGTTGTGGAATCGCAGAATTTTAAAGCAGGAAAAAGATCTCAGAAATCTCTTCTTATCCACATGAGAAAATAGGCCCACAATGGGGAAGGAACTAGATAGACATTCAGCTTCCTTGTCTGGCTTGCTTTGAGGCTCAACTGCTTTGCTGTTGGCTGGAAGCTCTTCTGGGGCTGTGGCCTCTTGGTGGCTTTAATGCAGTGATAAGAGGGGTGGTAGTGGGGGAGGGGAGGAGAAAGGGAGGGAGGGAGGTTGAGAGGAGTGAGTCAGTGTCATTAAGAGGGATTGAGGGACTGACATTGAGAGAGGGAGAGACAGAAAGGATGATAAAATACCTCTTCTGAGAAGTGGTAATGGTAACGCAGTGATCTGAAGCAGCACCTGGGGCATGAGTGAGGCGAGGAGGCTGGCAGCAGCAGTGGACTTGTAGGAGCACCCTGTACCTGCGGCTCACTGCTCCCCCTTCCTGCAGTGTAAACCCTTCTGAGGTTGCTGTGTCTGCAGTCTTGTTGGCTCTGGTTCAGTGCAACCAGTTGACTTAGCTGTCTCCGATCATGTAGAGATGTTAAGGAGAGAAGAGGCAAAGTGAAATTTGCATGGTTGACCATTTGTGAGTTTTCACATTTTTCAAATTTTAGCAAAAGGATTTCCTGAGTATAATCGGAACAAAATCCTGTGACCTTCCTTGCTTACTCAGGGCTGAACATTTTAGAAGAAGTCATAATGCAAACTAATTTTCAGAAAGTGTTTTGAATGTTTGAGTTGTTCTTTCCCAGTTCACTTGGGGCCTGTTTTGGGTTTGCTGCTGTGGAACACGGGTTGAAACGCAGCATGTGGGCATGCAGTGCTGCCTGTAACCTTGCAGCGGTGCCCTCTGGACTTTCAGCAAGCTCAGCTCTAAGCTGTGTTACCTGCTTTGGCTCCGTGTTACCTGGGGCTAGAATTACCGTTCTTAAATCCTAGCACACTTCCAGGAAGTCAGGTGGGAGCCTGGTCCAATAGAGAATGGCAGTCTTGCTACTGATAGATCATCAAGTAGTTTGTTTTTTTTTTTATTAGTGTCATGCTGTTGAACTTGAACTTGTAGGTTCTCAGAAAAGCGTGTATTGTCCACTCATGTTACTGTAAAGTCCATCTCTGGTTACGTCATTGGGAGCCTTTCAATTTAACCTCTTCCTTTGTAGCTTCTGTGGTTGGAAATAAACTATGACAGTTAAACTTTCATTATGCAAGGAATGTAGGTTCATCTTAGGAAAATCAGAAAATAGCGATAAGCAAAAAAGAAAATATAAATCATTTATAATCCACCTCCCAGAGAAACCACTGGTAACATTTTAGTGCATTTCTAAATTTTTTTATGTTCATTTAGTCACATAACATGAAATACATTTTAATAAAAATGAGTTTGCCATATATACTGTTTCAACTAGCATTTCTCATTTAACATAGTCTATACATTTCTCATATCAGTACATACAATTTTATATTTTCAGAAGACAAATGTCTTTGTTACTATTCTTTAAAATACAGATAAGTATGAAGAAAACAAAAAAGCCCATTATGTCACAACCCATGTTAACATATTGAAATGATTAGTAATAAAACAACTAACATTAACCGGTTGCTTACTTTATGCCAGGAACTGTTTTACCTATTAGCTCCTTTAATTGCCACAAAAGCTGCAAGAAGTAGGTGCTATTATTAATCCTGTTTTACAGATGAGAATACTGAGGCTAAGTGTTTAAGTACCTTCCTAAAGCCATATAGTTTATAAGAAATTAGACCAGATTAGGACCCAGGCACTCTGGGTCCAGAGCTCATTTTTTAACCACACATCATACTGTTAGACTTTAAACACAAAGAAACAAACAATGCAGTTTTAGCATCCATTCATCCATCCATCCATCTCTGCATACACAAAAGAGATCATATATTATACATTTTTCTACATCTTAACTTTTTTAGAATTTTTATAACAAACTTAGAGATCTTTCTCTGTCAGCATGTTCAGAGCTACCTCATTCTCTGTAATAGCCACATAGACATCCTTTGTGTACTTTGGTTTAGTTATCCAGTTCACTACTGATGGACAATTTGGTTGTTTCCAGATATTTGCAATTATAAGTAACGCAGAATTTTCTGATGTGAATGCTAATGCTTATTGAGTGATAAAATCAATTACTGTAGGTAAATGCATAGAACAGTGCCTGCTACATAGTAAGATCAGTAATTTCTACTATTATTACTAATACTATGTGCCATGTACTGTGCCAGAGTTTAATTCTCAAATTGTCCCAATGAGGTAGATACTGTTTTTATCCCTGTTTTACAATTGAAGACACTAAGGTCTAGAGAGGTTAAACAGTTCTTGTGGTAGTGAAATCTAGGATTTGAGTCCTCTGATCTGATTCTGGGGCACATGGTCTTGACTAATCCCATCTGCATATGCCCAACTTCAGCGGGGCTGGGAGTTGATATCTTCCCAGTACCAGGGATGGAGGAGGCCCTGATATTGGTAAACATTATTAATGTCTACATACACTCTCACCATGAGTATGAGAGTGTTGGGGGCTAATTTTGGTGTTATATTTTATATTAATTATTTATTATAGTTTGTAATGTATGTGTGTTACCTGATGTAGTAGGCATCAACACTTACTCCATGCTCTCTATACCCTTATTTTTAAAAATTTTTAACAAAACTTACATGCCTTAGCAATAAAACATCATTTTACTTTTTCACCTCCTTTACAAAAAGCCTAAAACCCTATACACAGTGCTACCCCTACTAATAAATAAATTTAAAAAAAAGTTTTACAATGGAATTTGGGAGCATATGCTTATGTGCAACAACTCAGGCCTCTTATTAAGTCACAAGGCACCAACTGTCTCTAAAAAAATTGCTGACTACTGCTGCATCAGGCAGCACACATACATTACAAACTAATAAATAAATAATATAAAATATAACACCAAAATTAGCCCCCAACATGAGAGTCCCTGTTTCAAAATTCCTTTCTAGTCCTGGGTATCACAGATGTTAGAATTTTTAATAGGTGAAAAATGGATACCATTTTTCTCAGTTTGATTTGTATTTATTTAATAATGAGTAGGGTTGAACAATGTAAGTTTATTGGTCATTTGAATTTGTTTTTCTCTAAATTGTCTTTGTTCATTTTTGTGTGTTTTTTTTTTTAAATGATCTTTATGAGCTCTCTGTTAAATAAGGAAATTAGTCTTGGAATTCTCATATGCATTGCAAATATTTTTCTAACATAAACATTTTTAATTGCATGTTTTCTATTTTATGGAGCTATTATAATTTACTTGAATAATGGAACTTTTGCTCTTTTCCAGTTTTCGATTACAGTGCTATCAAGAACATCCACTTATTATATTTTCTTAGGAAATTTCTTAGATGTGTAAGTGGTGAATGGAAGGGAATACACATTTTAAGGCTTCGATTCAGATCATATTTCTCTCTAGAAATATCATAAACACATTGACCATCAGGATCAGATTGGGTACCTATTTCCCAATAACCAATGACATTACTTGATACTGTTTAAAACAATCTTGGCTATTGTGTTTATCTTTGATTCTGAGTAAGATTGAGATATTTTCCATATGTTTATTTGTAGTTAGTGTTTCTCCTTTTGTGAATTGCCTGTTCATGCCTTAAGGAGTCTCTTGATTTTATGTACAGTTTTAAAAATTTTATAATTTCAGTTATCTAACAGTGGAATGAACTGCCTTACCTTTCCATCATTGATGATAGTAGAGCAGAAGTTCAGATACTGGAACTGTTTAAAGAAAGGAATGAATGTTTATTACTTTGCTATTACAAATCAGTCTTTATACTTGTTATCTCTTTTACTATTTCTGTTTTAATCTATTATAACAGCTAAAGAACAAGGGGCTCGGGGAGGCCAAGAATCTTAACTAGTGTTCCACAGCTGTTAAGTGTCAGAAATAGGTTATACACCCTCTTCTGCCTAACCTTAGCCCACACATTCCTTCCATCCCACCACGTAGCTTTCCATTCCTGGGCCATACCTTGTTTGAGAAGATATATTCGCATTAGGTGGTAAATTAGCTGGTTGAAATGTTAGGTACATTTTGGCAAAAAAGATGAAAATTTCAGAAAATATCTATTTAGATATTCTGTGATACAGAGCACTTTAGAAACTTGGTGTTCTTTTTATTTTTCTGCTAACTGTTCCATTTGGTACCCTTATGGACTAGGGACTTAGAAAATGGGTAGAGATTAGGCGAAGACCTTTTTTTATAGTAGCTCTGTTCTCTTCTTTCCCACACTCCAATCTTTGCCTCTTCTGAAAGCTTTGCTTCCTGCCTACCACCCAGGGGGCCTCAGCACTCCCAAGGACTTAAACCTCAGCCTGCCTTTCATCCTCTCCTCACTGGTGCTGTTCTCTTCATACTCTGGTACTTGGAATGCTGCTTTCTCTTTTTCCCCAATGCCATGGCAACAGTGCGTGGTAACTGCTTTCCTTGCGGTCAAGGCAAAAGACTTCGTATTTTTCTTTCCCTTTGACCTGTTTGCAATTAGCACTGTGGTCCACCCTTTCCTCTAGTTAAAGTGAGGAAGTACCAAACTGTAGTCAAGATGATAGGACCTGCAGGATCTAATGCAGTTTAACCCAAGCCCGCCCTGACCACTGGTTCTAAAATCACACTAATTATGTCCTCCACCCCTGCTCCTCTGCCTCTTTACTCTCTGTGATTTTTTCTTTTTTTTAATTTTATTTTTACTTGACTTATTATTTATATATTAGAAATTTGTTCATTCAGTCTCCCCCTGGTAGAATGTTGGGTCTAGATAAGTGAGATTTCCTTTTGCTCATTGTTCTCTCTACCTGTTACTTGAAACCCTAGCACACAGCATGGGCTCCCTAAGTTTTTGCCCAGTGACTATGGGAGTTGGTGGCAGAAATTCTGATTTTGTTTCATAGGATTTGCTTTTCTTGTGGATCTCCCTCTCTTGGAGGCAAGATTTGGATTATATTTAGTTCTTCCTGGGAAATTTGGTCAGCACAAGGGGATTTGGAAATTCATCAAGTCCCAGGGCCTGAGCCAAGTGAAAGCCCAGTAGGAGTGGATTGTAGTTGACATGAAAGATTTGCATTTGAAAAATACAATTCTTATGCATTTTGAATCTCAGCCCCCATGTGTTGCTTTTAGTCACTGCATGAATTTGAGGAAGGCTTTCTGAGCTTATTTCCTCATGTGTGTCATGTACATAATAATACCTACCTCCTTGACTTGCAGTGAAGATTAACTGACAATGTATGGAAACAACTAGTATATTGAGAGAAAAATAAATGATGGTGGTAACATGTTGTTAGTATTTTAGTTTTTTTGTGTGTGATTTTCTATTGGTAAATGGAATTATTTCCTCAGTTGTATTGTAGGCTGTTCAATGTAATGGTTAAAAAGCTGGGTTGGGAAGCTTTGAAGTTTGACTACCTGGGATCCTATTCTTCTTCTGCTACTTACCAGCAGTGTGACACTGGGCAAGGGCAAGCTTCAACAGCAATAAATGGCTATAAAGTATTATTAGTATCTACCTCAGAGTGGAGGTAAAGTTTCAGTGAGATATAGCAGTGCTTTAGCACAAAATTTGGTCCATAGGAAATGCCAAGTAACTCATATCTCGTAGCTTCATGATCATAGTAGAGTTTAAAGAAGCTTAGATTTCATCTATCCCAACTCCAGTACTGTTTCTAGAAACTAGAACTAGATCTTGTTTCTAGTTATGCCTTCTTGAGCAGTAAAGAACAAATCAATATCCTTTTCAGACAGTCTTTAATTATACTTAAGATTGGGTCCTGTTATAAAGTGACTTATGTCCCCCTAAAGTTCATATATTGAAGCCCTAACCCCCAGTGTGATGACTATATTTGGAGATAGGGCCTTTGGGGAAGTCAGAAGAGTAGGGCTATAATCCAAAAGGACTGGTGTTCTTTTAAGAAGAGGAAGACTTACCAGCACATGTGCACAGAGGAAAGGCCACTTGAGGACAGCAAGAGGGTGACTGCAAGCCAGGAGAACCCTCACCAAAAGCAACCTGTTGGCACCTTGATCTTGGACTTCTAGCCTTCAGAACTGTAAAAAAAAAAAAAAAACAAAAAAAAACACTTACTATGGCAACCCAAGGACTAATACAGAGCCTCTTTCTTTTCTCACATAATCAACCTCATCTTAGTTCTCTTGAGAGGGTGTTTGGATGCCTCTGCCTCCTGGTCACCATTGTCGTTCAAGTGTGTCTGTTCATTTTAAAATGAGAAACCCTGAGATGAACTCAGCAGTCCAAGGTGGTCTGAACAGTGTGGGTACTGGATATTACCCTTCTATTACCCATTCTAGTTGAATCTCAGATTGTGTTCAGTAGTCAACTAAATAAACTCCCAAGACTCAGGTCTACCCCATCCTATATTTGGTCTATTATTTTAGTCTAAATTCAAAATTTTATCTTATTAATTTCAGCTTTTTTTTTCCAGACTATAGAAATCATTTTTTTTAGAACTATAATGAAACAGGACCTTAGAAGTTGGGACCAACCAGCCTACCCACTCGCCCAGTGCCAGTGCTTTCCATGCTCTGTGTGTGTGTTTGAGCTGCTGTAACAAATTACCTTGGACTTGGGTGGCATAAACAGCAAACATTTATTTCTCACAGTCCTGGAGATTAGAAGTCCGAAATCAGGGTGCCCACATAGTGTGGTTCTTTGCAAGTGTCCTCTTCTTGATTTACATGTGCCCTCACATGGTGGGAATAGAGCCACCTAGTTTTTTGGCCCATTCGTGCGGGCTCCACCATTATGACCTAATTACCTTCTAAAGACCCCACCTCTAAATACCATCACATTGGGATTATGGTTTTGGCGTATGGAGTTTGGGGGAAACACAAACTTTCAGTTCATTGCACTGTTCTTTGCAGTGACTGCCTACTTTTCTTTATACTTCTAGTGGTAGGGAGGTCTTTGTTTTGTTGTGGAACTTGTTCCATTTGTTGGAACTCCTTCCAGTGTTCTGAAAAATTAGCTATGTTGGATCAAAATCTGAATCTATAACCGCTACTCTTTGATCACATCTGTTTGTTCTTTCTGTTCATGACAGTCTCTCATAGACTCCCCCACCCTTCCTGTTGGGTTTACCTTAAATTTCAGGTAAGTTCACAGAGATTTAGGTCTGTTGAGTATGATAGCCAAAGCTAAAAGTAATGAGAGATACTATATAATAATTTGGTTATTGAATTTTTCTAAATATGTACATTCAAAAGATCAAGGACATTTTATTAATGCGATCTTAAACTATTTTGCTGAAAAATCTCAGGGGAATTTTTGTTGCTTATTAGTCTAGTTGTGTGAATACATTGAACAGATAAAGTATAGTGACCTCTCTTTAGAAGTGGCCACTAATAAAAAGCTATTTGTATACAATATTAATAATTTTTTAACAAGGACTAAAATGTGGATACTTTGTATTTCATCAGAGCCCTCCACCCCCCAGGAATTTTCTGGTCATTACCACAAATCCACAATGTACTGTGGATTTCTCTGCAATAAAGATAATAATGTAGTCATTTCATTGTTGATTTTCTGTTGCATCTAAATTCAGATATTTTATTTTCAGGATTTAATTAAGATAATGTACTTTGTGGGACACTTGAACAGTCAAAGAATATTTGTGGGAAAGGAAATTTTCAAAGAATGCATGAATATGATGTGACTTTGCTTAGGACCTTATAGTAGTTATTAAAGTAAATCCTGGTGAGATGAATCACTCTGGTAGGCATTGCTGAATATTAGCTACCTCCCCTAGAAATGTTTATTAAATAAATGCATTTTATAAGTTAAAGTTTTAATATCCTTTTCAGAATATACACTATACACTTATTTCTGTGATATTGTAGTAACTCAACACTTGGATCTTTTTTCTTTGGGATTATGTTTATATCGTCCATTGCATTTTTTAAAACATATCCTCAGTGGTGGTGGGCTTTTATGTTTTTGTAGGTGGATTTTATTTTTGAGTTAGGCCATGGCATTTTGAAGTTTACTTTGTAAGTTAGGTGATAGCTGTGAAGCAGTTTTTCTTTAGTCAGACATGAAGTATGTCTATAAAGAAACCTTCTGTCTTGTGTGATGTGAAAACTGGCCTTAAAGTTTATTTCAGAATAGAAATTCCAGATCATTTGCTTAGGGTTCCTTGAAATAACACATGTGGTTTCCTAGGGTGACCATTTGAATGAGGACAATATATTTAGACACACAAGTTCTGTTTTTAAAATAAGGTTTAAAGTCTTCTTGTAAAATTTATGGTCTTCTTATAAAATTTTTCTGTGTTGAAGTATCCTGATTAGTCAGAAGTGACTTGGAAGCAGTTTTTCTGAGCTGGGAAATCTCAGTTATTGGGTGGAAATATAAGGTGATCTTAACTAAGGTCAGGGGCTGTGCTGAAATCGTGACAGTTTTGTGCTGGTGTGCAGCAGTGCCTTTGTTCCCCCCCTGGGGAAAGGGTACAGTGTACTTACCACTTTCTCCAAAGGGCCTGTGACCCCCAAACAATAGAGAACCAAGAACGAACGTCTTCCTTCTCTAGCAGTTTCGGGAACTGTAGAAACATGGACATGAATTTCTATATCCCACTTTGTTCATAAATCTAGAGCTATCTTAAGGAGCTTGAAATGAATGTCTCTCCCATGGTCATAATTGCTCAGTGAGCTCCTCAAAAGAGTTGCCAGTTTGTTTGTGGTGGTTTAGATTTAGGTCTTTCACTAGCTTTTTGTCGAACCTCTTGGGTATTGGAAGCAAATCTCTTCATAGCTTCCAGGAATATATTTGAATGAGCCCTCGATAACTTAATCCTAATTCTGATCATTTGAAAGAAGTAAGTGCTGGGAGAAGCCTGTGTTTGCTCAGTTGATTTTCTGGTAACCTGTATGTTATTATACTTTTATGTGCCTCCATTTCTCCTTACTAATTTGATCATGTGACTGTTTTGGCAGTGAGTGGATATAAAGGAATCACTCCTACCAACCAACATATGTGATCATTTGCCCTTCCTTCATTTTTTAATTTTCCAGTTGAAATAGTAAAGAGAACACTGTCCCAAGAGTCAAAAAAGCTAAGGTACCCTGTGGACCACCTCATAGTTAAAGGACTTCAGCAGCGTTAACCTGGTATCTGCAAGGCATTCTAAAAATAGTTAAATGAGTAAATAAGTAGCTTTTGATGTTTAAGGTTTAATGTGGAGATAACATTTCCCTACTGGTGATCTTAAGATACTTTTAGAGAAGAACTAAAGTGGAATCCCATTTTGATAGGTCATAGAACCCATGTGGAAAGAAAGGCAAGTAAAAGCTTTTATGGAAAGATGTGTTCCCATCTACCTAGAATGCTTTGGGTCAGGCAAGTAGGTTGGAATAATTTTTCCTCTTAAATTTCTTAATTCTGTTTTGTAGAGCTTCTCAGATGTTTCCCCTGAACTGTGGTCAATAGCAAAATATAACTAACCTCCTTCTCCCCCAACCCCAGCCCTGTTTGTGGGCATCCCCTATAGCAGTATGCTTAAGGACATCATTTCTTTCGTGATTCATTTAAAAAATTCATGCCTATTTGGCATTTCATTTCAAAAATATATTTATTTTAATATAAAAATCAGATTTGAAGTGACCATCTTTTCAAACCGAGCCCCAAGAAAATGTGCCCATTGCTTCAGAGACTTTGTGTGCCCTTTGACCCACTGCTGGGTAACCCCAAGGATCTGCAGATACCATTATTTGAGAAACACTGTTGTAGGGGATAAGTGGAAGCCAGGTCTAGGGAAGGATGTATTTTTAAAAATGACTCTATTTAACAGCCTAATGTGGAGTGTAAAAACTATGAGAAGTGGAATGGCAATCCATTTGGAAGGTATTTAGTATACAACTGCCTACTTAGGAAACCCATCTTATTTCCCAGTGAGAAGCATATTTTTAAAAAAAGAGTCTAATATATTCAAACTCTTTACTATAATTCAAGTCACCTGTTTCCCTGACTCAAAGACCAAGTTCCAGCTGTAATCCTGGGAAAAGTTATACAGCACTTTTTTTTCCATCTTATAAAGGGAGATTAAAATACTTGCTGCCTACACCCCTCATCAGACGTAAGGATTAATGAGATCGTGCTCGTAATGTGCCTTAAACTCACGGGAAGAAATGGCCAGGGAGAAGCCCAAGTGCTTTATTACCAGGAGTTCAACTCAGGCACGGCTTTTACTCTGCTATTAGGCTTCCATTTATTTTGTTTACGCGTTGCTTTAAACGATAAAGTAAAGTGCTGTATGAAACTTGAGGCCTGTCTAATGAGTGTGATAATATCCACGTGTCAAAATGAAGAGTGGGCTTGTTGGTTTCACATGTTTTAACTTCCCATCCATCTCAAGAATCCTGCAAGCTTGGCTACTGCATGTTGGAATGGGCACTTTTTCTGGAGACAGCCTACTGCATTTTGCAGCTTCCAGTCTATTTGTGGGGACTCGGCTTCTTCAATAACCCTAGGCTGTAATTTTTAGAGCATTATTGAAACCTGTGCCTTGAGCAGTGAGTTGCCATCTTGGCAGCCTGACTTGTGTGCGTGTGTGTGTGCATCCTCACCAGGGTGTATGATGTGTGCTGTCTCCTCCGCTGTGGGGGTTGGAGGGATGAGACAGAACCAGGCCTTGCCAGCAGAGCCTGAGGTCCTTTTGCAAATGGCCCAGTGGGGATGCTGGTTCCTGATGGAGAGCGCTGTCTGCTCTCCCCTGATTTCAGCTGGAGAAACTTCTCTTGGGCGCTGGCATGATGTCTTCATACATCTTTAGGTAGCCAAACCTGACTTGTATAACTGAGTTTAAAAGTCAGATGCCAGTGTGTTCAGAAACACATTATTTCTGAAAGACCAAAGAATGAGGCTACTGTAATAGAAAACAGCAAAGTTTAAAATAATGTTGATATTCAGGATGGCTGAATTGAGGGAGGTGGAAATGAGATGGGAGAAATATAATTTTAAGCTTTTAAAATTCCACTGAAGTATAATGCTTAATTGTTAGCATATTCTAAGCAGTGAGTTGGGCACATTTAAAAATAGCTTTTTAACATGAATGAACCTTTTTATGAGCTGAACTTCAATGAAGAATAAGTTGGTCATGCAAATTGGTTTAGTGGTCTGTGTTAAACATTTTAGGGCTGGGGTTGTAAAAAACATTTTAGAGCTATAAAAGCAAAAAGTCTGACCTAAAAGGAAGACAGGTATTATTAGTTCCTAATCTATAGCCCTGTGAAGAAAGCTCTGTTACCTTGTTTATAATGTTATGCTTCTTTGAGTTTCAAAATATGTAAAAGAGGTGGCTTAGATGTAAAATGGAAACCACTGGCTCTGAGTGAGTTGAAAGTAAGTTGTAGACACAGGAGTCTTTTGTGCCTCTCTGGGAAAAAACAGCCAGTTCCCAGCGACTCAGGACACTCCAGCAGCTTTGGAGATCAAGGGAGGGAGGCCTTGCCATAGAGAAGTCAAGAGTAGTTGGTTGCCCATTAGGTCCCACTTTAAGGAGTTGTCATCACCTGTCCTGTGAATTGGTTCTTAGGCAACACAATCTTTGAAATAAAAAAGTATATGCTCCAGGTTTGAAGGAGTAAAGCATTAGTTTCATGCAGTGAAATAAGAGTTATTAATTAGAATTAGAGAATAATATTTCTTGTAGATCTTACGTTAATTGAGCTATTTTACCTGTAAATACAGGCAAAGATAGAAGCTGTGCATATATGTGCTGTTGTCTTACTAAGGTATAATTTCTTTCTCCTTTTCATGAAGAAAGCCT